GCACGGCCGTACGAATCTGGTCGTCCGACATTTCCCCAACTTGTCCGCTTTCCTTGATCATATGGAAAGCCGGGTCCACTAAATCGGCGTCGAAAGCTTCGGAGATGGTCGCCAGGCGCGGATGTGTGCCTTTGCCTTTAACGTCTTCCTGGGCTGGGGCCCGGGGTCCGGCTTGTGAGCTTCGTAATATTGGAGCGACCGGTGCGTTGTGTTGGGCCGCCGCGTGGTCCAAAAGGGAGGACAAGGAGGCCCCATGGCTGCTAGGTAGGTGGCCCTGGAGCTGCTGACGACGGTGGTACGCATAGGTACCTTCGCCTTCTTCCTCCTCTTCCTCCTCTTCGTCTTCGTACCCATAGTCGTCATAGTCATCGTCGTAGCTGTATGTCCGGTTCCGGACGGCGCGATGACGGGACATGCTCGGCTACGGGAGAAGTAAAATACAAAATCTTGACCGCGTAGGAAGGTCTTTCGAAAATGTTGGGGACTGAGTGGCGGGAATGACGTTGTGGAGGCTTCTGGCCACGCCTAGTTGACCGACCTCGGTTGCGTGTAGATGACCACCGTTTCGCATAAGACCGCCTAAGGCTGGCCTGGCGAATGGATCTGTCGAGTGAAAGATATGCATTGGGTTGAGGATGTGTCGGATGGGCGGCGACGGGACGCAAAAGCAAGCAATTTGTGGCTACGGGCATGGAGGGACGGATGAAAGCAAGAGGTACTAGTAGTACCTGTTCGTAGTACGAGGTCTGATACAGAGGGATCAAGAGCGGTAGAAATGTTGCCAAGCACATCACAGTGAATGGCTCTTGCTGACACACAAGGTATTCAGCACCACTGTGACCTTAAGTCTCGCGAACGGGCCTTGTGTTACGCCCGTGTCACGTGTTTTTTGCTGGGATCTTGAGCCTCGCTGACAGCAAACGTGAGGAGCATCAATGAGCGAGAGGCGGCTTGCAACTTCTTTTTAAAGAACCGGTAAATAAATTCTTTGGTTTTCACTCGTACCATCAAAGACATAGGGCATGCTGTGAAGTGGTCTTCCCCAAAGTGACGCCCGGCTTGCCTCTCACCGGTATGCACCAAGTATTTATTTCCTCCCTCTGCTGAGCATTGACACACTGTTCTTCCTACATTTGGTCCTGTTATCCACTCTTTCTCTATTTCCGTACTTTAATCCGCCCTTTTCACGTATGAAAAATGCACAGGTATATCGATGGAATAACAGAGCTTCCAATGGGCTTGCATCGTACGTATGTATATATGTCCTGACCATGTCGCACCTGCTTCCAACACATTTCGTGCATTCCCACCGTTTTTTTCTCCCTCCGTCGATCCCTTCTGTTCGATAAAATAATGTCTGGCCTCTCGAAATATGAGGTAATGAAGTGATTGAAGCATCCCAATGGGAAAATTCCTTTGATTTCGCGATTTCATGGCATGAAAGAAACGCCACCAACAAGTCTTGAGCATCTCTAACCTCCTCCCGGAAAGCATTTCTTCAACCACCTTCGACTCCGTCGTGTAAATGCTCCTTCGAAAAATATCATGGAACTTTCAAAAAAATGCCGATGGCTCTCCCCACAAGAAAATTTTCGATCTCGCCGCCAAAGAAACGTTCGACATTCCAGCGGCAAGGCCAGCACCCAGTCATTCGTTCTTTTCCTCCCCCTGCTTCCCTCCCTCTCCCCCCTTCCCCCCTCTCTCCTTCCCTCAGCTACCCCGGCGGCCATGCCAACGGGCGCCCCGCCAAGATATGCATGTGAA